CTACTAGGTTTAATATTTTAGGGAAACATGATACAATCTCAAAAACTACATAAATATTCAATCAAAGCTACTGTTGTAAAATGAAATAAAAGCAGGCAGATAGAGATGTTCATAACTGAATCTTTCATCATTGCATCTTTCCCTAACACGTGCAATACGAATGCCGAAACGTGAGAGAGAATTATGTAAACGAAGTCTGAAGGCTACTTGAGTGGCTTGATATGATTATAATCTGTAAATTGTACTCAAAACATTATCAATCAATAATACTGGCAATCAATACTGTCAAATCTTCAGAAAACAAAGTTGGAGCATGCAATTGACGAAACAGCTTCCTGTCGTTACGTTGATGACACATTTATAGTGTGCAAAAATGATAGTCATACTTCACACCTACTAAGATTATTCAATGATGCACACGCCAATATCAAGTTCACTGTGGAACAGGAAAGTGACGGGAAGTTCCACTTCCTCGACATCGCCATGGAACGCCTAGAAGACGGTAGTCTTCAAAAGTCAATTTATCGTAAGTCCACATGGAAAGGACAATGCTTAAATTTTAATAGCTTTTGTCCAAATAGCTATAAACGAGCACTGGTCAAGACTCTGTACTATAAAGCGAGAAGAATATGCTCTACAGAGATATTAGAGGAAGAATTTGAGTTTCTTGAAAAGACTTTGAAGAGCAATGGGTACCCTCAAAGGTTCATCAACAAGTATGGAAGATCTGCAGTCGCAAATGAAAATCAAATCACAGTAAGAAAAAAGCCAATCTACTTTGAGCTTGATTATGAAGGCGAAAACATTACAGCGATGATCAACAGAAGGCTGAGTACATCGCTAGCCATAGCTTATCCTGCAGCTAAGCTCGTTCCCGTCTTTCGAACAACTTGCTCTCTGGTGCAATCAAAAATCGATAGATATCCTTCTCATGTTAACTCCAACTGTATATACAAATTTACATGTATCTGCGGGAGCAGTTACATTGGAAGAACAGAAAGAAGAGCATATCCACTATTTTCTGAACATGTACCAAAAAGCTTACGTCTAAAAGGAACAAATGCTTTAGGCAGTACCAGCGCCAGGCATTATCTTGACACAGGTCATGAGGTGGACGTGGAAAAGTCATTCAAAATTATCAATAAGCAAAAGAGTTCAATGCTCCTTAAGTTTGCTGAAGCCTTTTCCATTAAGCGCCTAAAACCTGATTTGTGCGTTCAGAAAGAAGCAGTTATCAGTCTTTCTTTGCCCTGGTAACTGGATATTTTTCATCCTAATGCGAGATACTGAAAAGTTTTCATTTTGTATTGTTATTATTGCTCGGAATTGTGTTCAATATTGCATATATATATGTATATATTATTAGTGTATGTGTATATTGATCGATTGATTTCTGTTTAAAATGAACTCTGTGTATGTTAAATTGTTATTGTAGATACATTTAATGATGTCTTTGCCCTGTAAGCAGCTGAAGAGAAGGCGACGAAATAAAATATGGTACCACTTTATTCTGCTAAATCTGTAGTTGTTGCTTTGTTTAAATTCATTAAGTGGAACAAATGTATGAAAATACTGGCTCACTTTGTGTCTGGATCAAATGAATTTATTCTGCGCTGGAAAATTACGCGTATTTTTTAACCTTCTAGGCGATAATGCAAAAGGTGTGGTGTAAGGGACGAATATTCTGTTTCTTTTCCTGCGTTAGCTTGTAGTACACAGAATCATCACAATTACCTGTACTAGTGGTTCTGAAATTGGTTTTAAACTGAATATTGCCATTCATTGAATAATCCTCAATTTAACCATATTGGTATTTTAAAATTGTATTCATCTGTTAAGATCAACTTAAGCGACTTTCTTGAATCCTTATTTCAAATGAAATCGAGTTTCACTATGCAAACTACTGTTTTGCACATCAATCATGTATATTAAAATGCTGAGTTTTTACTATTAGACTTTGCATCTCCTCTATAACAAACGAATTATTTGTTGGGTTGATATGTAGAATAGTAAGTCGTTATTATCAATATAGTAACATTTACTGATAAACAATTTGTACAGTTTTAGAGTACACAGTTCAAATTCATTCAGAGTGTGAAACCTCAGTAGATTCATGAATAAGTGGACAGTAAAAAAGACTTAACATTTTTATTTTCATCGCCTGAAAACAGTTACAATATTTCACTAATTATTGTGATTAGAGTTGAGCAAAGTCCTTCTATTTCATTATTAAAAATAACTCTCAAAACAAAGTCGATTTGTTATAAGTGTTTTGAGAAATATTTTTTTTGAAAACACTGAGATGTTAGTTCAGACGTTTTCACTACAATTGGTTAGATAATAGAGTTAAACAAATGGTAAAAGCAGGGTTTGAGTGATTCCAGATAGTAACGGTTTTTTTATGTAGTAGCTTAGATGGAACATTTCCTTGGAGATCTAAACAAATATTCCTATCCACTTTTTCTTTTTTACAGTGGAATGAGTATATCAGATAGTTTCAAATAAAATATCGCACTCATCCTTGAAAACGGATCTATAGTTCAGTTAAATTTATCATATAAATGGAGTAAACAGTAAAACCAACTGTCAATTTGATGAGTGAAAAGTGTAGTTTTCATCCAAATATCGTTTAATTAACACAAGAAAATATAGCACTTTACATCATCACTAGGCAAAACTGTGTATATCCATATCAAGGTACTCACACAACCTTCTTGCTTCGCTTATATATATGAGTTAAAATTGATTAGACATATGAACATAATCAATATAAGGCAGGTGTGAAACAGAAAAGAAGATCAAGTACATTCAGAAACACTAAAAGTTTTGTCAACAAAAATTTAATTTGATGAGAATTGAGACAAGTAATTTTAGTCAATCTACCATGGATGCTAACATCACATTTCCCATCTTTTTGATTAACAACCCGTGGTATTTCTCATCCGATTATATTTTATTAATTATACTAATATCACTTCCGAATGTGCCTCCTCTTCCATGGTAGTCGTCTCAATTCTCATAAATCATATTGGTCGATAACACTTTAAGTGTTTCCGAATGTATATCAACTTCCTCTCTGTTACACACATGTCCTATAATGATTGTATTCATATAACTAATCAATCTTTACTCATTCAAATAAACGAAGCGAGACAGACATGTGAGTGCCTTGATATGATTATGAGCAATAAATTGTGCCCGAATCAGTCAGTATTACTGTATAACAATGTTCGACTTTATTATTTAACATTTTATCCATAATGGTATTATTCTATACCTCAGTGCCAGAGTCGGTACTTAGCATACATAACAGGCAAGAGGAATGCATTTGAAACAGTCATTGCTGAATGTTCACTGAACTTCTAATATCAAATCTTACTACCACTAATCTCCTCACCAGAGTATAAAACGTGACCATCTTTGTATGTTTATAACTTACTTTTATCACAAATCACTTATTATTCTGGTTACTTCACCTTTCATTTTTCCTAATGTAATCAAGTTCAGGAGTTTGAGCAATCAACTATTTTGTAACGCATATACCATCAATTATCAAATCACCTGTTTCGCATATCAGAAACATTCATAGCGTTTCTTCCAATAATTTCCATCTTCAATTCCCTTGCTTTTGATTTGCTAACTTGACTAATTATCATTATATAACTTATCAATATTTTATTTGATAAATTACATATTCCATTAGAAATTATAAATTCATTTAAATAATAGTGTTGATGAGGGTATAACTGAATTATCAGTGCCTCACAGCTTGATTTTCTTCTGTTGCGCAAGAAGAGTCCTAAAGAAGTAGGAAGCAGCTGTTCAGCGCATCTTGGTGTTGAATGGTTCTCAAAATGAAGTCACTTTATGGTCGGACCTGATGTGTTTGTTGATAATTAAACACTATATTCGTCTGACCACCAAAGGTGACATCAACTGACATCCAGATACATCGGGTGCCAGTTCCTAAAGTGGAATCCCAATAACTGCGAGCTGCTTGAAATCTTATGCTTCGTGGCGTCAATAATGCATGCAGGGAACGAAGCACGTGGGCAATTTTGAGGCTAGTTGAAAATAATAGTAGGTTACCACGTGGAATGGAGATGTGATGCTGAAGCTGGATGCATTCTAAACGGCAATATCTATGTCAACCGTGCCTGTGGCATTTGTACCTGCTTTCACAACAATTGCACGGCTGTGTCTTAATTAACCGTGCCAGCACACTTCTCTTTGCTTCTAGTATCTTTCTAATTTTTGGAGTATCCTACAGTTATGTCGTTGAAATACTGTCTGATGCACCCGTACGATTTTAACAGAACTTTGTTCTTATTTTTGTCATTTGAAGCATCGAATCGTCAATTTCATCATCTGAATACCAATAGAGAACGAAACTTTACTGTGAAGAATCGTTGAAATACACCCGAAACCCAAAGTGATATTCAACTGTTAAATATGCCACATGATAAGGTGCAGATCAGACTCAGAGTTTCATCCTTTATGGTATTTTTCATTGGTGACCACAATACTAATAGTCAAATAACATTCCTATATGAATGGTCTGATTCTTCAAATCTACTAACCTGTCTGATGATGATTGTTGTCTAATAAATGATCACATTCAAATCACAATGTTTGTGCATGAATACAATTTTGTCAAGTTGGAAAGAGTTAGCGAGTAAATCTACTGGTATGATAAAACTCATCAAATGCGAGTACGGCTGAAGCATTCCACTTTTCTCTGAATACAGAGCAATCAAATCTCTTATGAATCAGTCTCACCTAGAGACAAACTCAAGGGTTATTCATCAAATAACTGATGAGATCATCGAACCAAACACAATAATTCAGAAATTACAACATATAACAAATAAGCCCTTATAAATACACACGAATTTAACTGTCGAATTTCAGCATTTTATGTTTCATTTCATTAAATGTATAACATCATTAATAAAAGCGGATCTATATTTATAGAAATAAATAACATATACGTTATATCAGTGACATCCAATAAAAGTGCCAGTATATATTCATGCAATGTTGTATTTTTGTATGACATTGAGCGTTTCTGAATGGATTTCCAAAATTGAAATTTTTACTTGACGTGGTATACTTGTCCACTTGTGTCCTGGGAATCAGACTGAAAATAAAGAAAATTAATTTTCTTATAGAAAGGGTTGAACGAATATGTGGTAAATTTTATTTTTATTGTTTTTAAATTTTATTATTTTATTTTGAAACAAGTATGAAATTTTCAGCATGCATGGTCGACGAGCGTCCTAATCGCTGTGCCACCAACACTGAATATTGCACAACAAACTATGAAGTATGAGAATGAAACTACAAAAACTGTATTTTCTCAAATGAATCTGTACTTCCTATTTATGAAGCAGACTTAAACATGAAAATTGCTTGATGGACTTGATCCTGCTACTTTGTAAGTCATATTTGATCATGAAGCTTCATTGAGAAGTGAGACGTTTACTGATATTATGGTTTCGTTTTACTTTTCAAAGCCTTGCCGAAACGCGGATCAGACATACTTTCGACCAACGTCTTGATCGTTTATGTGGTTGCGTTTTAAATGAATAGTTTTTAGCTGTCCTTCAGTAGCTGGCCACTCAGTTTATTCATTTTCTCGTTTTTAGCTGAAGATGATCATTATGGCTCCTGGATTTCTTTATTTTCAGTCTTCATTGAAATGTCCAGTGAGCGAATATTGTTTTGCATAAGTGGTTCGAAAGAATCGTTTCACCTTTCTCTGGTTTCCGTTTAGCGAACTCACAGCAACTGATTTGAAACTCAGCTGGTACCTATCCATAATTGGAGACACAAAGAAAGCAGAATATTCCTTATACAGCTTGTTCATGTTTACGGATCCAATGAGAAGTTCGGCCTAATGTTGTAAAAAATCATTGTCGATGACCTTTTAAATTGCATTTAACTTTGAATTCGACTTTAGATTTTCCCATCGGTCGATTGAACCGATGTGCTTGGTCTCAGGTTTGCACTGAGTTCGAACATCGGTGGGAACATAATCATTCACTGCGGAATGCAGGTACATCTAGATGGCAAGTCCCAAAAAGGACGAAATGCGCATTCTGGATTCTACTGCTAGTCACCATCCACCAATTAACTTCTTACATTTAACTGTGTTTTTTGTTTTAATTGTTACCGATTTATTTCACAACAAAAGAAAAAATAACTCAAGAGTGTCAAGTTGTCATGCCACTGGATGTGAACCATTCTACTTTAAGATGAAATGTCTGGCATTTGGAGCCAGAATATTTTCATCGATTTCTCTTCAGGACAGACACGTAACCTGCACAGCTTCTTTATAGTTGTAACAAAATCCTGCAATAGTGCCAATTCATTCTACATTGGCAGCTAAACTGCAGGCAAATTTATCTTTCATGGCAAACGGATTGAGCCTGACCAAAATCTTCCTAATATTTCAATCGCAATAACCTCAATAATAATCTTTGTTTTAACTTGATTATTATTCTGATCTAGTTCAACACCACACCATGACAACTGCTGCAGATAGAATCTTTCTTAATCAGTGAGTTCAAAACACAAACAAACGCATATATTATATATGCGATATATATATTTAAACATCAATAAAACACTTTAAATTCATTTAAAAAATGTTACCTCAGGTTTTTCTTGATCGCTTTCATCAGCATTAGTTTTTGGAGGTAATGTCAACAAGTAAATAGCTGAGAATAAGAGAGTAATGAAAATCCAGAAAAAGAACGCTTGAGTCATTGCAAAACAGAATATATGTGGATTACCCACACAGCAGCGTACTGTGTTTCCAAGAAGAAATAAACCCTGTAAATAGGAAAAAATTGCAAAGCATTATTGTTAAGCCCAATCTAAATGACTGACATAGGATAAAAACTCAATTGATGTGCAAATCACGAGTGAGACCTTTGTATTTAAGCTGATTTCCGGAAATAACGCCACTCAGTCGAATTGTTCCAATGGTAAATATTATTTATATTAATTGCATTAAAACGTCTCATTAAGTAGTTTTTCATATATCACGATAAATGAGGCCACATGGATGATGCGTTTGTGTATCTAGCTAATGTTTCAAAGAGACATTTCCTCTTTAGCACTGAAAATAAAAGATGCTTGCGTCGGTTGGACAGCGGTAATATGGTCACCGACCACTCATGTGGTCCGAGGTTCAGTCCCCGGCAGGTACACTCCTATTCATCGCGAAGCCAGTATTAAGACTGGTGAAGAAGGAAGGTTGAGCATGTGGCTGGCAAAGCAACCCCATAAACATGGAAACCACTGCTACCAAAACTTCAAGGCTACAGCTAGAAGCCATTTAAAAATACAAGATGCATGTTCGCTTTACTTGAACATTCCATATACCAGTGGTGAGTTTAGTAAGCTCTTGACACTTTAAATTCATTAACTCATAGAAACAGAAACGTGTTAAATTTCAAGGTTTCCTACTAATCTCAATTCTCTTCAGAGATGAAGTGCACAAGTCGTTCCGTATGCCGTATCCAAAATCATTGCTGAGTATTAATACATATGCTTCTGAAGTGACTAAATTTATTTGAAGAGACTTGACTAATATGAAAACGCAACGTCACCCTGTCTGAAGACAAAATAAGCTCAAGGGGAAATATTATCCGCTTATGGTAAATACCTGTACCCGATGAATCAATGAAATGGCAGAAATAGGTGTAAACAAGGGAGTTTAGTGCATGAAAAGAAAATTTCTGGGACCCTAGCTTCCATCTCAATTTTAATGACAACCCATTTGTAATGTTTTCAAAGTATTAGTGTTCACTGAGACAACTGTCTTTGCGTTATTGTTCACAATGTGGAGTCAATGACTATGCGATAGTCGATCTAATTATTATCACTGTCTCACAACAATGCTCATTGAACTCTTTTCATGGTCCGAATCATTCTGTGGGTAACTACTATAAACTTTATTCCCAAAATGGCCCATTTATTTTCTGTTTTTTTATGCCATTTGTATATCCACTCCTCATAACTTTGATAGTGAATATTATTTCTATTCTGAGTTATTTCCGTTATTATCTCACTTGTCAACTTTATTTATTTAATTCACTGTAATCATCTTCATTGTTATCTCATCAAAATTCTCACTTGCTTGCGTAAAGCATTTGATGGCTAAGAATCATATTAATACTACAAACCCTTTTCTATATTTTACAAATTCCATGAACTTTTTCATAAAATACATGGCATATATGGTCACATGTTGTTTAACTATTCATTTCATTCATAACCGATTAACTATTGAATAGCTTGATAACAAAATTGTTGAGAAAACCTTTTCTCTGAGTTACTTATATTGATTTTTCCGGCAAGAAATCACCAAATGAAATAGATAGTAGGTAAAAACATCACTTGAACTCACAAACATTGCACCGAAACAGAGACACAGTTCGCTCACAGCTTCCTAGAATTATTTGAAAATGAAAAGACAAAATATTGACTTAATTGAAGATATACGATCCATAAACACGACTATTGGTTTCTAAGGATTTTACTGAATTTAATGATGATCAAGAGCTGACTTCAGTTGGAGAACCACCTAAATCCGGGAAATGCTTTCATGATGTTTGTCTTAGTTTAGGAATGTTTAGAGCCTAGCATGTATGACACTACCTGAAGTCGAATCCCGGGTAGTACCAGTTAAGAAGTAATCAGATCTCTACTTCTCCTCGGTATTCAGTGGTTTTCTGAGTGATATCAGTATCTGACTAATTTTGAAGCCCTTCAATCCCTGCAAACCGATGTCTGAAAATTACCTAAAATAATCTACAAGTATTTCGTAAATCAAAACTAGATTATTCTATTCCCACAACATCCGGTTTGACTGAATCATGATGAAATTTCATAGAAAATCACTGATTCCGGCTCACTGAGTGCTCAAATTATTTTTAAAAATTCACAGCGTCTTATGTTTAACCAGTTCAAATATGATGGTCAATCTACTACTGACAATCGATGTCTTGCATGAGGCTAAATGATGAACTAATTTCAGTGGAATAACTTCACGATTAGCGCACACTTATCATTGAGTAACTGAGCCAATACTCTGTGTCTTAAAGAGATTTCCAAAAACCAAGTCGCATGTCAAATTCTCAACTGTATTGCACACACTTATTTAATTTACCTTACAGAGGATAGAATACTAATCACCACATAGCAATAAAGCACAAAACGATTGTCAAACTGCAAAATTCGACGGTTCCATCAAACTAAACTGTTTCTCGTGACATTAGTGTGACCACAACGTCTCAATACATTTATATTCATCTGACATTAACAAAATGCTCATTCAAGCACATAATGAAAACAGTAAGAACTCACAGAGAATGGAACATCCAGAACGGAGAGAAGCATGGATAGGAGTCCTATGAATACAATGAGCACTGCAAGAAATACGACTGCCGTAAACGCTGTTAAATCTAAGCGTTTCAGATTGACAGCGATTAACACGACTGCAGCAGCTATTGCTAGAGCCACATTCAAAATTATAAAAATATTGAGAGCAATGAATCCATGAAAAACACAACAGTATGCGATGGATATGAGTAGGACCTGTAAAATCGATTGGAATGAAGTGAACGTAACTATCAGTAATAGGAATAAGATGAGCATCATTAATATACAAAACAATTTTATATGTACCTGTTCTCTTATGTCATATGAATATCACCAGTGTGGAATCCACTACCAACTCACTTGCATTACATGTTTGAATACGCGCTCAGTGAGACTATAAGTGACATCACTTGCCAAGTTTGCTGGAGAAAGTTGCATGAGAACCAGTGAGTTGCACCATTGTGTGCGATGCAGATATTATCAAATGATTAGGGATTGATAGCTTCCGGTCAGTGAAATGTGGTTGCAGTGCAGATGAGCTGATTAGACTAAGTGTCAGTAAAACGTTTGAGCATTGTGGAATCGAACAAATAAAAGTATAATCATATTTCCATGGTTTATACAGAATAATAAGTTTTTGTTTTTATTAATATTTCGAGCAAAATTACTACCCGTGTTCAGAGCAACTCTTGGAATCTAATTGATGCAATCGGCGGGAACATCTAAAATTCACTTAAACTTTTGGAGTTGGTTTTTTTAATTCACACATTTATAATTTGTATTCATACATATTGTTTATTTTTCGTTTCTTCATTTTTGTGTATTCAGAATTATATTTCAGGTTGTTGACAGTTGTGCTGAGTCACCCTTGTTACATGTATCCCGTTTGACCTTAATAAATATCGATTCTGTTATAAGTCTTTCATTCTTTTATTGTCAGTAAAAAGTTTGAGGATTGTGGAATTGAAAAAGTAAAAGTATTATCATATTCCAATGGTTTATACAGAATAATGTTTTTGTTTTTAGAAATAATTCGACCAAAGATACTGCCCGTGTTCACACCACTGTTGGAAATATTTTGTTCATATTAGTTTTTAGAAAACACACATTGTTCCAGTCGATATTGTGGTTTTTGTCTCATGCATGCACAGCTACAGGTGAATTCCTTTTATATTGTTGCAAGCTTGTGTTCCTGTTGAATGACCTTAAGTTAGGCATTAATGTTCATTGATTCTCGTTCTGAGCGATCCGGATGTTTCACCCAATATTTAGCCAGACACTCGGCACAAGATATCTGTTTGTGTATTGAGTTATTTTTATCTATCATTTTTATGGGAACTTCTATTTGATTTATCTAATTTTAATCAGATTTGTCGGTTAAAACGTTGTGCGAATCCCAATAATTTTGAGGTTCTCCGAAGTGCCTCTGATGCACCATTTTGTATGGTACTGTGATCGATTTTCACCTTCCTCCTTCTAGTTATTCTGTGGTTTCACCCTCATTTTTCTCCTCGTTATATTATCTTGGATAAGTTCTTTTGGGTAGTTGTTGTCGAGTTGCATTTTGAATAAGACGATTATTTCTCTAGGCTGGTCGTTTGATGTTTATGTATGTCAACGTCTTTTTCTGCAAAAACTTGTATTAATTCTCGCTTTACCTTGGGTAGATGAGCTGAGTGATAATCAAGGAATCTCCGAGAATGTGCACTTTTTCGAAATAGCGTCGTTTTCACGGTACACTCTGTTATTCTTTGTACTTCGCAGTCTGAAATAGTTTTCCGATTTCATTCTTTATTTCCATAGTGAATTTTACTGAGTCAACATGACTGTTTATGTGCTAGAACAATTTCTCAACATCGTTTTTTTCATGATTACTGACATTGATGACGTGAATGATTTAAGTGTATTCTCTTCCCAAATACCCATGAACATGTCACCTGTCATTGGTTAGATGGGTGATCCAATGGCTATTCCTTCATCCCATTGGTATGTCTTCCCTTCAAATGTAAAATATGTTGTTGTCAGACAGAATTCCACGCCTTGTATTATCTCTTCTGTCTTTTAGACCATTATCTTCTTTAAGTCTCATTTTCAGTGCACTCATGACCATTTGAATGGGTATTTTAGTATGAAGACTGTTTAAATCAAAGCTGACTACTATTTCCTCTTCCTCTGTTTTTGGTGGATTTTAGTCGTCTCACTAATTCAAATGAAGCCTACTATTCTAGCTTTCGAGTTGTCTACTGTCGGTTTTAGTATTGTTGACAGAAATCTTGACAGCATACAAGTTGATGCTTTTTTTAACTCTACAATCGGTCATATTGGATATCCTTCTTTATGCAATTTTATCTTGCCATATATCCTAAGCATATCACATGGTTAAGGCATAATTTCAAACCATTTTGACTTACCAATTACTTCTTTCATCTGTCTAACTGCCTCTGCTGTTTCTTTCACTGTTTTGTTTCTGATAGTTTCTGGTGATTCCGTCATTAGGGTATAGGGTCCAGATTGTAAACGTTCATTCATCTTTTCCGTATATGTTGTTTTGCTGAGTATTACTCTTGTGTTCCCTTTGTCTGGTGGAGTAATGACAATGCATTTGTCAGCTTTTATGTCCTAAAGTGCTTTTATTTCCGTATTCGTTACATTTAGTTTTTCTGCTTTTTAATTCTTAAGGTTAATGCATATTGTGTGCCTATCAATTCCACCTTTTGCTTCTCATGTCCTCCTTGTGCTCTTTCAATCACAGGTATAATGCCTTCAGGTTTTGATCTTTTTTACTAATTTTGAAGTTCATCCCTTTCATCAGTACATTGCAGAGTATCAAATTACGCTATCAAGTTCTTCTTAGCTTTTATAGATCCATTAATTGATGTTTGTTTGCTATCTCATCTAGAGACATTAACCTGTAGACAGCTGACAATGTTAAGATTCTTCTAATAGTTTCTCTTGCTCAGAGGATATAGTAAAAGAAAACTTGTTAAATAATATCGCTAAAATGCTTTCTAGGATCAGTCTGAATCAGTCTGAATTCAAGAAAAATTATTTTGACATGGGTGACTGTCTACGGCTACTGATTTCTTTACATTGGTGAAACATTATTGAAGATAAAATAATGACCTGTGAAATGTATTGTACTATTGTCAGTCATTTTCAGAGCATTTTTTTCTAATTTCTTATTTCAGCAAAGCTCCCAACTGACGCAATATTCGTCGCTTATCTACAGATTTCAGATAAAGCTACATGTTTCACATACACATCTCAACTTTTTAAAGATAGGAGACAGTTAGTTGAGGCATCTGTTTCTTTATAACTACCTCGATGATGTGAAAGCAACTTCTAAATAAAGTCGTCATATGTGGATGACTATTAATCACATTGTTCTGCTTAATCATTTCATTCACAGTTACATATTGTATTATATCATTGTCATAACTACAGACCATACATGTACCTAGAGCTATTCTTTACCTGAGTCTATGTGAGCAACCTCCCACAAATTTCAAATAAAGCATTTGATATTGTACATCTATGATATATTTTTAAACCTTATAGTCACCTCATACATAAACATGTTTAGGCGCATCTTCCTACGTTAAACTTTATACATACAAAGTGTAAAACACAATTATTCCAAGTATTAATGGTGTCTGCATTCTACAACCAAACAGAATACTTACGATTAGTCCATAAGCAATATGAGAATACCAAAAGTTTTCCTGAATTTTCTTGACCGCAAACGTGAAGACAAGCAGAGCGGCAGCAAATACGCTAAATGAAAAAAAAATATTGTGGATTTGATGCATACACTTTCAATGTAAAAGCATCAGAATTTATCAAACAGAAGAATAATCACCAGCTTTGATATCCATAAGAAGAGACAATGACAAACTGAGACAATTGACTTACACAATTCCCAATGTGACTGTGATATTGTTATAGAAAAATGTTTGAAGGGCCTCTCTATGTGAGAATAAGATTGGATGATTAATTTCAATCTTACATGCTGCCTATGATAATCATGACTGCCAACATGATCACTAACAGATATGTCACATCAATTCCAACCTAATTGTAGATTTTTGTGTAGATAAATAGCCAGATTGTCCTTACCAATGTGATGTATTCTTTGAATGTGTCTTCTCTTGGCTTCAAATTCAATCCCGTGGAAATCGTCTGAATCATTATTTCCGTGTGGAAAGTGCTTTCCTTGCTTTGCGTATTCTGTCTGAATAAAATCACAGAAGGCGTTTCCTGCAGTGGATGCTGAAGAGTAAAATGTGGTTAATGTGATAGTTTCCTCAATATCAAAGTTTTTGCATTGGTAACGTCCTGAAGTTAAACCTTGCTGTAATGTCGTTCACTTGAAAACTTTCGCAAATTAACTACGATGCTTACATGGAGGTATATTCAGTGGACTAATTTACTTCTCTTCTACGTAGAACTAATCTGCAGTTCCATCATCATGACATAAAATGAAGTGGATACATTCCAATGGCCTGGCTTCATCTCAATTGTCCTCAACTATCTAGCCATGCCAAGCAAACGCAATCATATTTAGATCAAAGAATTCGATACACATAAAGTAAATGTCTATTATTTGACCGAGATCAGGATTGCAACCTTTGGATTAATAAAATATTCTCTTGATGATACGTTCATCTTAGTGCCACTTCAGATAAGAGTATGGAAAATGTATGGAAGAAAGTTTCACAACTGGCTGATTCAAGAAATTCAAGAAAAATCTACTAACCATAAAATTAAACTGTCTACATAACCCAGACTTTTTGTTTAATTAGTCGTTCTTGGGTAATCCTATGAGCGTTTTCAGTTCACTCCAAATCGTGTCGTCATTATTTAGGAAATATGTTCAATGAAAATACTGAGAAAACTTACATATCACCAACTATGTAGTCAAAATTAACTCAGTCATGAGATTCAATCCTTTTTATAGTGAATTGTAGACAGTTAATCTTGATGTGAAATTTGAAACGTGTAGAGTACTTTGTTCAGGTGAATACTTCAGGCTTTTAAAAATGATTCATTTTAATGAGACGGAAGAAAAAAAGAATTTAAATGGCACTCTGGTCAATACAAAAAGTCGATTTTGAGGGTTTTAGCTTAAGATACTTCAAGGTTAAATTGCACAAAAAATCTATAATGATAATAATCTCAGCTATTCCGGAATGTTTTGATCTTACTGCATGCATAATTCACCAATGAATAGTAAATTGACGTAAATTGGCGTGCACTTTACTGTATGTTCAAATATAAGTAATATGTCCAATTCGTTGAAAAAAATTTACGCTTTACAAATGCCAATGATGACAAGTTCACAGGAATCCATTCAGGGAGAAGGATAAAAATTTACATTTTATTTATTTATTTTTGATTACAGCTTGATGCCACACCGTATTTTTAGGTGCAGGTATGGAATTTTCAGCATGGATTTCGGTAGCCCAAATTTTGCAGGCCGATTATAGATATCAGGTGTGCACCGGCAGGCGGTCGAACCCCGGACCATGTGCATGGTCGGCGAGAGTCCTAACCACTGTGCCACCGACGCACATAAAGAAAAGTTGTGAGCCTTCAGGTATCTGAAGTAATTGAAGCTTCTCAAAATTTCAAGGGTGGTCTAAACTTCTTAAATGAGGGTTCATCTCAATGGCTACGTCACCATAGAGATCCATAGCTGAGAGGTATTTCAAAGCCAGAGAGGAAGATAATGGTAAATTTATGAATTGAATAAATGAGATAAAAGAAAGTGGCACAATTATGGAGTCAATAGATGTTTTCTTATTCTCTTTTATTAACAGCCTTCTTTCGAGAGAATTGGTGTGGTAATAATGTGATTATTATCAATAAATTGCCCTCGAAACTTCATCACGTTAATTAATTATTTATTTAATATAACATCAGTGTGTATTAAATAAAGTGCACTGACCTAATACTGAACTAAATTTAACCAAGGTTCTAATTCTGTACTTACAGAAATACTGTGCGATTTATGTAGATATACTGATTCAGATAACTTGAGATTTTGAACGCTTTCTAAGCATACTGAGGAGTTTATGCAGAGATATGATGTCAAACCTCCAGTGGGTAGTAAAATGTACAGACAGAAAGAATCAATACTCAGAAACCCCTGGTTAACTCAGTTGGAAGTCTATGCTCGTATAAAGAAGCCGTCTGAAGGTCCTGATGGATATTCATTATAAGATCTTGATCTACTTACAAATCTGTAAGGTTTAATAATCTACGAAAAACGGTCTGAAGAGTGATTAGGTGGGATGAGAAATAAAACGACACACTTCATTGCCAATTGGACAGCTTTTTACCTCACTGACTGATCAAACACAAATTTCGAAGCGTTCACCTCTCATTTTTCTTCCTTGAATTCCTCTGTTCAGCTAATAATCCCATCCTCCTAAATACTTTACATGACGTGCAATCAAAACAATTGAAGTTTCTTAAATTTTCGCAAGACTTTATTTATGCTTACACTGTCTGTGCAGTGTTATCAAAACGAAGCATTTTCTAAAGATTTTGTGACTACTTACTTTCGTCGTCCATGATGGTACAAAGGTGATATCGTTATTTCAATAACATCAATTGCTATTTATCAAATCATCTAATTGAAATTTTTCAGAGATATATGCACACAGGAATTTTTCATGTCTGTTAATCATTCTGATTGATCCATTGATGGATGTTTTTACAAGTACATTCGTTATATTAACTCTACGTATATGCGAAATTTAAACACAAGACTGAGATTAATGCAAACGTTTTAGAAACAGAGACTTTGGCAGGTTATAATGACTTGGTAAAACGATTATTCGAATGCTGCTTCATGCAAAACTGAGAACAGAAGATTGTTCTCCTTTTCATACTTTTGTGAGTAGTGATCGAATAAGGTAGTTTTTATTTCTCAAGGAGTGAAAATGTCAAGATTATTGTCTGCAGCAGACCTCATTTCTGAAGGTAAATTCATTCTGGAGTTAAACGTTATAACTTCTGGAGTTTCTTTCCTGTGACCTATCTCTCCTTCGAGCATTAGTCTGCTTGTAATGGACTGCTCTGATGGTTAAACTATTCTTCTTTGGTTCACTTATTTTTTTATATACTCCATTTTTCTATAATAATAATACCCCTATCTCTACTAGTCTATATTTATTCTGCTCCTATTCTACATTTATTTTATACATGATCGTACTCTTTCTATTTCAATTGTCCTACCCTCCGGCACTCTCATTTCAACTGTTATCTCTTCACTCTACCTTTAATCAAAGATACCTTCTCGACTGAATAAACTAATGTATTACTTTTTTTCCTGCGTTTATCAAGTTTACAGCTAATATCAAAAAGCCTTACCGACACAAATTGAAGCAAGCGCTACAAAATCGAGGGTTTTATACAAGCTTGTCAAGAGATAATGGTAATCGGATGTTTCACTAAATTCCTTTTTTAAATAGTTATGTTCTACTTTGTGTGTGTGCTTGTTAGGCATTCATCTGATTTACATATAACTTGTCATATGAAACATGATCACACTGGTCTGACTTCGGCATCCACGTGAGTGACAGTTACCCCTTAATAATCTTCCATAGTCAGTAACATTTTCCTTTCATGTCCTTTTACGGACTTCCATAGATATAATTTAAGTAACACTTGATATTTTGAGCAATTGGCAGGAAGGAGTTGATCTGAGTTTCAATACTGCTGAAGCTTCTTAGCAGAATTCATGAAGATGCAGGTGGTTCTGATTATCTCCAAAGTTGTGTTTTTCAATTACTCGAATTCATTATTTATAACAGGCAGCATTAGTAAACAGGTTTGTATTTGAATTTATTTCTCTTGAAGATTTACCTAAACCGTGTAACCTATTTCCCTAACGCATCATTATCACATAAGGTTCAGATGTGGGAACATTCACGTAGTTGTCCCATGAATAGTCTTCAAGTGTGTATGAAACTAAATAAGTTTAGCTTTCATCATATAGTGAATACTTTGGTATATTTTCATACTTTTATCTGGTATATACGAACATAATTTTATATAAATGTGAGAATGCAACTAGGAAAATTTTGTCATGATTCAAATTCATCTGAGATACGTTTATTTATTTTAACTAATGGTGATGGCTGTTATATGTCCAATATCATATGTGCTGTCCTGTTGATTCTATCGAACTATTATCATTATCGTTTGCCCACATTATAGTGTACAACGCAGTGTATTATTTGAAGTCAAAATCGCGGGTTAAGGCTTCCGTCAGTGATTCATATATTATCAGTTACTCATTATCATAGATAAAACATTACACCCCAGGGAAGATCTATTCTCTAAGTAGTTAGATGTTGCCATGCTGAGAACATCCATGCTGAGGAAAATTCAGGCGTACACAGTTAGTGAATCAAAGGCGATAAACTGTTGCTTCCCATGATCAAATCCTTGTTGCCATCAGAACATAGGGACACTCATTTTGATTTTCCATGAATCTTTCAACAACTGCACTGAAGTGACACAACATTTTACTTGAGACATTGAATACTGATGGCAAGTCTATAAGTTGAAGGCGTCCCTGTATCTATTCTGCAACAATCAGTTTATTTTTGGGATTAATCATCAAATAAGAGCTAAATTATGAACTCCTAAGCTTAACAGTGCTGACAGTTTTAACAAAAATCAATATGGAGCTGCTATGTGAGCTGACTCATGCTATTCTGATCCACACTTCAACACACACATCGTTTGCAGATGTGATGCACGCGAATACAATTTGAAGGTTCATTGAGGAAATATTTTCTTTATTTAAATTTTTCAAGTGAGAATCGCCTTTCATTCAACAATCATTATATAAAAAAACTGTGTATGAGTTATCAGTAATCACGCATTAGGCTTACAATGTAGAAATCCATATTTTTCATATCGACGTCTGACACTATGTTCATTTCAGCATGTCTGCAAGAATTACTGTGATCTATCAAAAAAAACAAGAGCAGCATGAAAACATCAATGTGAAGGATTACAATTACTTTCATATCAGTTTGTTAAATTTCTGTCTTGTTAACATGTGACTGTACACTTCAGTGAATAAAATAAACGATACGTTGCATGTGAGACATGCTTTGAATAATACCAATATTCTTATTAATGTGATATAACTTTCAGCTATTGAGAGATGACCAGCAGCTTCAACTTACCAAAGACAAAGCAGCGTTGAAATAGGCACCCGCCAGTACTTTGCAAAC